AATGTTTATGAAAATTAATAAAATATTATTATAGAAAAAAAAAAGATGAAAAAGGCTACGTTCAGGAGGATGCTCAGCACAGATCCACTTCAGGCCCTTTGCTCAGGGCCTACAATGACTCTGTAGGCTGCTTTAGCCCACTGCCTCTGGGCCACTTGCCACTGAGTGTTACAACTCCTGGATGGGTTTCTTAACACCACATTTGAGCCAGGGGTCCCAGCTGTTGCTTTAAGGCCTCTCGCTATCAAATAGTGTAGTTCAGTCAAGGTTTCTACCTCCAGATATACTTGTAGTTTGTTTAAGGGGTTGTTGGGGTTTTTGTTTTTTTGTGACTAGGAGAACAATTTATTTGACAGTCAACTGGTCTCTGTTTCTATAAATTATTGCTTCAAATTCTTTCCATTGGTAGTAATTACCAATAAAAAATGCAAAAGTTCACTGATTTTAAAACAAGTCCCCACAAATCAAGAGTAAAAAGGTCATAAAAAAGGTAATCTTTTAATTTCCAAATGGAGACTTTCTGGGACTGTATTTCGTCTTCAGGAAGCTACTGGAACAATTCCAAGCTTGTAACACCATTGTTCCTTTGCCAGTTTGTTGTACTGTTGTGACTTGCCATGTTGCAGTGATCCTGAGAGCTATTCCATTGGTATTTAAAATACCAGCAAGATCATCCATGATGGATGATTTTCAGCAGAGGTTTCAGACCAAAAAAGAATGGGAAGAAGGACTTAGCAGTTTACTTTCGAAAAAACTGACCATTAAAACCTTATGGATAGCAGAATAATATTGTCTAATTTAGTTCTGGATACTTGTGGTCCTTATTGCTTCTAGTCCTGTCTTAGCTCTGAGCACACTACAGCTCTTTATCCATGTGTAATTTTTCTTTTTTTTTTATCCATGTGTAATTTAGAAAGTCTCAAAGGATAAGTTCTTCTCCAGGCCTGTGTCATCCAAGAGGTTCCAAAAAGCCTTTGTTTCAGCCTTTTCTAGGCCATTTTTTGTTTATTTAAAAACGGATCTCTCGATCAGATCAGATCTCAACCAAGCTTTAGCTAGGTCTCTGCCAAGTCATAAAATGGCTTTTTATGGTTTCCCATCCAGATATGTAAAAGATAAAGAAGAAATGTATATATTTCAAATATATAAATATAACAACTGACTCTTGGATTTTCAAGGATAGGAAAGCTTACAAATATTTTGCGTCTGAAATAAAAGGTGGGCATTCTTACTATTGTGCAAAGATAAGAATATAAAAACTAAAAATACTGGCATTAATCAATTTTTAAAGCAAATATAAAAGGCTCTGTCCAAGTATTTTTTCATGTGAAGTTAAAGCACTTGGATTCTTCTATCTCGTGACCTTAAGGACTACGTGCATAATGAAGTTTTTTTTAAAAGACTATATTGTTTTCTCATAAAATAGTTTGCTTTAAGACCATACAAAATTTTTACAAAATTCGGTACCACTTGATCAATTATAAAATTGTGACCATAGAAATTTTTTTTTTTTAAATTTTGTGTGCGTGTACCGTCAAATCAGATCTGACTGGTACAGGAGGATATTGCACCTCCCTCTCTGGCAGAGCATCTGGTGGATTCAAACCATATTCCTCTGGGATTGCAGTGCAGCTTCTTGCCACTAGGCCACCAGAGCTCCCCAACCATAGAAATTTTTAATTCACCTTTTTGGATAAGACTAAGGATGTTAAATATTACCTCAAATTGTCCATAGTAAGAAGAAAGTAGAGAAAAACATCTATATTTTCTCATGATTATTACGTTAAAAATAAAAATCTGAGAAAGATATACCCATATAGGAAAATTTGTCTTTGCTAACTGAAGGGACTGATTCTGTATTTTGTTTTACATGCTTTGCACAAGGTTCTGCATTTTCATCTTCCTCTTCTTCCAATGACTCCCAGAGTCGTTTATTTGCTTTCACTTGAGATTCTTGCACAAGCTCATTTTTCTTTCCTAAAAGACAGGAAACCCGAAACAACTATGAGATATCATCTCATCCAAGTAAGAATAGTAAAATTTAACAGAACAGCAAATATCAAATACTGGCGAGGTACGGAGAAAGTGGAACCCTTATTCACTGCTGGTGGGAGTGCAACCACTATGGAAGGCTGTATGGCGCTTTCTCAAAAAATTGCAAATAAAAATACCATTTGACCCAGCAATTCTTCTACTGGGATTATACCCTAAAGAAACCATAACTGCCATCAAGCAGATATATGCACACCCAAATAGCAAAGAGTTGGAAACAACCCAAGTGCCCATCAACAAACGAATGGACAGAGCAGCTCTGGTATATTCACAAAATGGAATACTATGCTACACTGAAAAACAAGGAACTCATGAAATATTATACAAAATGGGTGACCCTGGAGGACATTATGCTGAGTGAAATATCTCAGTCACAAAACGACAAATACTGCATAGTGCCACTGCTGTAAAACAGGATTGTCATCAGGGTTGAGGGGAGACAAAGAAAGAGGGGCTAAATAATGTATACTGCATTGAAATTGATGAGGGAGAGAAATGTTTAAAAGGGATATGTGATTAGGTATTATTGCCATGACAGGCGTATAGAATGAGGGCTGCATAGTGGAGTGGACTTAAGGGGAGGGATTCTTTAACAATGAAAGAATTTTTCTTTTACTTTTCAAAGAAAAGACTGAATTAGGGGGGAGGGGTAGGCAGGGAGAAAAATGCAAAAAGGAATGAATGGAAATCTAAAGTCTTTGTAAACTTTAATAAAAAAGTTTTCTCAAAAAAAAAAAAAAGACTACAACAATAACAACAAAAGACAGGAAACCATCAACTTGTAAATCAGAAACAATTAACATACTATGAAATATTTAAGAATCAATAAATTTACTAAGTTACTTAATATCAACAAAGACTTACATGCTCTTCTGATTATGCCCCTATGAAAAGAAAATAACCTTAAAACCATGTATACCATCTTAAATTCTGATGTCCTGTGAAATAATTTAAAATATTTCATGATAGGCTTATTAGTGGCAATGTCAAGATAATAGTTAAGGATCCTGCTAAAAGCAAAACTTGATTTTGATGGAGATATTAAAAATCCAAAGGTTTCTTAACACTATAGGACTTATATTTTGAAAACTAACAGGCTCTTTCCATGTCTAAAAAAATACAAGTATCAAAATTTTTTTACAGTATTCATGTTATCTGTGGCTCAGTCTCCCCATTCCTCTGTTCCTAGGAGGAAAAAAAAAATACCCGAATTGTCAAAAGTGAAACTGAAACCCTCTAAGGTGGCTAAGAGGGAACTGGCAAGAGTAACTTAAACAAACAGATAAAGGACTAAGAAAAGCGAATTAAACCAGAAAGGTAGATGAGATCGTGTCCCTTTGGAGCAATCCTGTGGCAGCTATTTCTTAAGCAGACTGACTATGTGCTGCAACCCCAAAGGCATATGGTTCAAAGCTACCAGCTACTCCTTGGGTGAAAGACCAGCAAACTCCTTCCATGCAATTTCCTGTCCCTGAAAACCCTCTGGAAAGTTAGCTGTGAGTCAGTTCTGACTCAAAGGCATGCAACAACATCCCTGGCAGATTAAAGATTAATTTCAAAAAGACTCAAACATTTTCTCAAAGTATTATTGTTGTGGTTGTTGTTGTTGTATACCATTGAGTCAGAACCAACCCATAATTGATGTCTCAGTGGGTTTCCAGAGTCAATAAACTGCAAGGGAGGAGACTCTCCTCCATCTTTCTGTCATGCAGCATCTAGTGGATTCAAACCACATACCTTTCTGTTGGCAGCACAATTCCTTACTAGTTAGCCACCAGAGCTCCGTAAAGGTATTATACCAGTATCTCATTCACTCTTCAAGATTATGATGAAAATTAGAGTATTAATGACTACAAGATGCAAAAATTCAGAGTTACAATTTGAATTCCACTTTTTATCTATCAGATCTGAATGTGGGTCAGAAAAATTATTCTCTACAAGCATCTATAAAACGACACAATGGACAAGATAATATGAAATGTGTTCTCCTACAAGATCATTTTATACACGAGAAAGGGTACAGAAGCAGCAAATTTTACTGGACAAAAGTACTGTGATTTGCCTTTGAGTAAATTTATCATGAACTAGTTTTGCTAAGCTAGGGTAACTAGCAAGTAACTCAATATTCTCCCAGAGAGAAAAACGTAGTAGTAAAGCGGGTGAGGAAGAGATTAAGAGGCTAATACTGTTGATATGATACAAGTGATGAATATTAATGCTATTAAACACAAGTTTACACAAAAAAACTCAATCACTACCACCAAGGCGGAACTGGCTCATAGATGACCTGCTAATAGGTTTTCAGAGACTGTAAATCCCTGTGAGGACACTGTTCATCTTTTTCTCTCAAAGCGGCTGGGATTCCAAATTGACTGCCTCTGAGTTAGCAGCACAACACCTTATCCAGCAGGCCAGAGCTCTACTTTAAGTAAGATCCAAAGAATTATTTTCTTTTTAAGGAAAAATTTACAGTACTTAATAAAAATGTATCTATTAGAAGTAGTGTTATTATGTTCTGCCAAGTCACAATGGACCAACAGATGATCTTCCAGAGGACTGTAAACTGTATGAGAGGAAAATGTTCATCTTTTCCCCCCACAGAGCAATTAATGGATTTGAACTATGCCTTTGAGCTGGTCCGGTAACTCCTTATCACTAGTTGACTAGAGCCCCTAGAAGTACCGAGAAAATACATACATTACTAGGTTTAAAAAAAAAAAAAGTCTATGAAAAGAAAATATTAAGAGCTTAATAAAAACAAGAGTCAGACTTTGTGCAGTGCAGTGAATTATATAATATAGTTCTTTGACTCGTAGTCTTTGTGACTTCCACACAATAAATGGGTGGACCAGTGTTGCATGATCAACTTCCATTTTATGATCTAATTATCCTCCATTGTGTGTGTTGAAAATTTTTATCTCTTGCACTGCCTACACAAAGAAATGTAGTTCAAATTGACCAGTCACCCGAAGGGAGAAAAGTGGGCAATCTCCTCCAGTGTAATTTACAGCCTCTGAAAACCCACTGGAGGGCCAGCCACTTGATGGCAACGACAGAGTGCAGTGTTAATGAGAAGTGCCCTAATGGCTTAGTAATCACCATAGGATAAATATGGGTAGTCACCTCCTGTAAAGATTTACAGCCTGGAAAACTCAGAATGGTCACTATCAGTCTGAACAGACTTGAAGGCACTCAATGCTACAAATAGCAAATAGAAGTATTTTTCTAAAGTACAAGCGAGGACAATGAGTGGAAATGATTGTGTTCTAGCTTGTCCCTAACACTATTAATGGAATTAAACACTATTCTAATCTTTTTGAGCCCACTTCCTAATATGCAAAATGGAAACAAACATCATTCTCTATCTCCCTAGAGGATACAGATAAAATGGGATTGGGCTATGAGAGATTTTGAACACATTAAAATATTAACAGTGATAGGAGACAATAACTACCTTCTGAACCATCAGGGCTTCCAGAGTTCTTAACAAAGGCCCAGGCCTCATCTTCAGTAGCAAATTTCTTAAATTTAGCAGCAGGAAACCGGTCCACCTGTGCTCTACATTCATCCCTGGAACAGAACAAGCTGTATCATTTCTGCTCTATTTTACTTACTCCCTCTTTAATTAAGGTTATTTTCTTAAATTGAGAACCATCTAGTAAAGGACAAATGACAGGGCCATCAGTTCCTTGAGAACAAAAGGTGCTATCTTATTGTGCATAGGTTTATTTTTTCATGTCCATTTTATATATAACATGTACTGGATATACAGCCTGCAAACATCCAGGGCTTTTCAAACATAGCATATTAAAACTTGAAGGTCTGAAGAAAGTGGAAATATTTCACTATAGAAAAAGAACAGTTTTTAAAAAGGCTTCTTTCTTAACACCTTAACCCATGTGCACAGAAAACAAAGATACTCTGATAATCAACTTTCCTATCACATAAAAGTCGTGATTTTAGAGTTTTTTTTTTAAAAAAAAGTTTAATTGTTGCATCACTATGCCCGTGAAGTTCTTGCCCACAGTAGCCACAAACAACTGAGAACACATTTGTCTCAAATATTGTTTTATTTTAAATCAAATGTCAAATATAAGTCTATAATTCTTCGTTTTAAAAATAGAAAGAGGGAGCTCTGGTGGCCTAGTGGTAAGGAGCTGCAACTACAATCCCAGA